TCAGTTTGTGATTATTTTTATAGATAACATTTTGGTATGTTCTACTTCTGAGGAAGATCATGCCAAACATCTGAGAAGTATATTGAAAACTTTAAGGCAGCACCAGTTGTATGCAAAATTCTCCGATGTAAGTTCTGGCTGAAGAATATTTTTTTTTTGGGACATGTGGTGAGTGGTGATTGTATCTCTGTTGATCCTCAGAAAGTTCATGCAATCACTAATTGGCCGAGGCCTACTACTATATTTGAGATACGCAGTTTCTTGGGTATGGCTAAATATTACAAGAAATTTATGAAGGAATTTTCTTAAATTTCAGTACCTCTAACGAGATTGACTCAGAAGTCGGTAGCTTTTCTTTGGACACAAGAGTGTGAGGCTAGTTTTCAGATATTGAAAGATCGTTTGACTTATACTCTAATTTTGACTCTTCTCTCTGGTACAGAAGGATTTCAAGTATTCAGTGATGCTTCATTAAGAGGTTTGGGATGTGTTTTGATGCAGCATGGTCGAGTGGTGGCTTATGCTTCAAGATAGTTAAAGTCACATGAAAGAAACTATTCGAATCATGATCTAGAGTTGGCTGCTGTTGTATTTACTTTGAAGATTTGACGTCATTATTTGTACGATGTCAGGTGTGAAATTTAAAGTCTGAAGTACATATTCACTCAGAATGATCTGAATTTGAGGCAAAGGATGTGGTTTGAGTTAATCAAGTACTATGATCTAATTATTCAACATCAACCTGGTAAGGCTAACGTGGTGGTAGACGCTCTGAGTAGGAAGTCTTTAGGATTATCATACATACAACTCACTTCTGATAAGTATTTGATCGAGATATGGAGAGATTATAGTTGGAGATGATTTCTTCTACTGATTGGGATTATGATATAGTGACTTTGCTAATCATTCAACCTTCTTTAGAAGAAAAGATTCAAGAAGCTAAAAAATCAGATGCAGAATATTTGAAGTTAATTAATTATATTAGATCTGGTAAGAAATCTAAACTACAAGTTTCTGATTTTAGTATTATTTCTGTAAGGATAGACTTTGGAATCCTATTTTTGGATATTTGAGGCAGAAGATTTTACATGAGGCTCATTATTCATGCTATATTATTCATCCAGGAAATAATAAGATGTACGAAGATCTGAAGGGTATGTTTGGGTGATCTGGATTGAAGGACATAATAGAGTTTGTTTAAAGGTCTTAGGCCTGTCAGCTAATGAAGGCAGAGCATTAGCGACAGGGAGGTCTTCTGTAGTCGTTACCTATTTCAGAGTGGAAATGAAAAGAGGTAACAATGAATTTTGCTATGGGTTTTCCTAGATTGAGGTAGGGGTGTTATGCTATTTGGATTGTTGTTGATTGACTGATAAAATCTGCCCATTTTCTTCCGATTAGACAGACAAAACAGGTTAGCACAGATCTATGTTAAAGATATTATCAGGTTGCATGGTGTGCCGAAAGTAGTGATTGTATCTGATTGGAAAGGCAGGTTTACCTCTAGATTATGGAGAGGTATTCAGCAGGAACTGGGTACGAAGTTACACTTCAGAATTGCTTTTCATTCGCAGATGGACGGACAATCTGAAAGGATTATTCAGGTATTGAAGGATCTTCTGAGATTATGTGTTTTAAATTTTAGGAGCAGTTGGGAGCATCATATCTCGTTGATAGAGTTTGCATATAATAATAGTTATCAATCCAACATAGGCATGACTCCTTATGAAGCTCTATACAGCAGGAAATATATGACTTTTTTTATTTTGATAGAGGTGGGAGATAGACAAATGATAGGTTCAGCCTTTGTAGATAATACTACTGCAAAGACAAATTTGGCTAAATAAATATTGAAATTTGTACAAGATAGATATAAGAAGTATTACAATCAGAAGCACATGTTGGTTGAATTTCAGATTGGTGATATGGTTTATGTCAAAGTTATCCCAATGAAAGGTGTCAGTAGATTTGGAAAAATTAGCAAGCTCAGTCCAAGGTATATTGGACCTTTTGAAATTATTGGGAGGATTAGTAGTTTTACTTACAGGTTACTATTACCTGATCATATGTATGATATACACAATGTGTTTCATGTATCATCTTTAAAAAAGTGGGTGTCTGATTTTGGGAAGAGATTATCTACTGATGATATTGAGGTTCATATAAATTTACAGTATAAAAAAGAACCCGAAAGAATTTTGACATTTGATTTGAGAAAATTGAGAAGCAAATAAATTCTTATAGTTAAGATGTAGTGGAAACATAAGACCGCTAAAGAGGCTACTTGGGAGGAGTTTGATATGAGGCAGCTTTATCCAGGTTTAATCTAACTCATTCTACTTTGGGAATGTCAAGGACGACAATTTTCTTATGATGGGTAGATTGTGAAACCCTTTAAATTTTCAAGATTTTTTTTTGATGACCTAGAGAAGTCCAAATCACAAACCGTCTTCAATAGAATATTTATAATGTTATATTTTAGCTTCCCTAATTTTTTTTTTCATAATTTTTAGTCACCATCGAAATTTCTTAAGAAATCGGCACCTGTTGGTACAAGTGGAGTTTTTGGGACCATCATGTGTCCATTTTACAAATTGATTTCACCAAAATTTTCTAAATAAAAAGAGTTAATTTATGAATATTTTTCTATAATTTTTGGAATCCCTAAAAGAATTTCTATGAATTTTCTATTGAAAATTTTTAATAATAAAAAATAAAAAATATCTCAAGCCATTATGAGTATTTAAATTCTATTTAAACCATCATTTTGAGCAAACAGAGAATCGGCTTGAGGGAATAAGTGAGAGAAAGTGAAATCCAATTTTTGGGCGACTTTGGGCCGTTTTCGTCCGTCGACTCAGTTGGAAAACTTGTTCATCTTGAGGTAAGGCATATTATGCCCATCTCAATTTTTGAAAATGTACAAATTTTTAACGAATATTCGGATCAAAATTTTATATCCGTTAGAGAAAAACGGGAATAATTTTGCACCGATAAAACTTTCACCGTGTAACTTTTTATATGTTATAAAGATTATGATTATGCACATTTTGAATATTCTTTTAAAAATTTTCATAAGGGGTTTATGGGATTTTTATTGAATAGAAAATTATTTGGATGTTAAAAAATAATGTTATAGTACAATAAATATCTTAAAATATTATTTTACACAATCTCTGATAATTTCATAATTTTCTAAAATGTGCATTTTTTCCTAGTTGGATTTTCTGTTGTCTACCGTTATACAACAATAAAATTTTGATACATGCTCAATTACTCTTTAATTGTTATAATATGATGATATATGTGCATATGCGAGTAAATAATATCTATTGGGAGCCATAAGGGGCCAAAATTCTTTGATGTTCTGTCTGTTAGAAAATTGCTGGGAATTATAAGGGGTCAAAATCCTTTGAGATTATGTCTGGATCTGAGAAATGTGATCTAAACTACTCTGTGATATGAATTTCAATTTATTTATTTATTCTGTACTGTTATTTAAATTAGAGAATAACTGATATGCATTTTAGATTTAAACGAAAATTTGACTTTTAATAGGACACAATGGAGAAAAAGGATTCATATAGCCGACCCCACGTAGTGGGATAAAGGCTTGATATTGTTGTTGTTGTTGTGATTCTCAGTTCAGTGATTTATTTAAACTGAAATTAACTGCTTTTAAATATTCAACAAAATATTTGATAAAAGAATATTTGAAAATTTAAATTGGTTTGTGTGGCTTGCTGAGCTGTTGTAGCTTATTGTGATTTTACTTCTATTTTTCAAGATTTGGGAAGGGGAAAGAGATTGTGAACTAACAATTCATGATCATATCTGAGGTTATAGATATTTTGCTTTTTTTGATTTTTTGTATAGTCATGACTAGTTTAATTTTTAGTTCTGTAGCTCTTGCCTGTAGCCATGTACTGTAGTGTAGATATTTATTTTGATGAATGAAAAAAACTTTAAGGATGAGTTTTTCAATATTCGAATATTTTTGTAGCTCTGTAATTTGTCATTTATTTCAATGAATATTGGCATAAAATCTGAAATAATTTCAAAACTAAATCTTGGGATTTGCCTGCCACAGCTCAACACGATAAGACCTGTCCTGGTCGGGTTGGGTTGTGACATACGCTCACCTACTGCACTTGCTCACTTACCGATCGTGTTCGTTCACCCACTTGATCATCCGCTCTCTTTCTCAACCAGTTCAATGGGTCAAGTTGGGTTGAATCGAGTTAGGGACGGGTTGGGTTCAAGTCTGGATTTGTGACCCATTTAGCTAATCAAGTCGGGTCATTTGAAGGCAGTTTAATTTTGGATTGGACACTAATCCAATCTAAAAATTCATTTTGACACCCCTACCATTAAGCGCCTGCTCAAGACTCGTGACTGTCTTCCTTGAGAAGCCTTCCATCATCATCACAAAGCTCGCCACATCACAACTCTTGAACTAGGCTTTTATTTACAATTTTCTTTTATCTAACCAAAAATAAGAACTCATGAATTTTAAATACATTGCTTTTCCGTTATACTGCATTTAAATTAGCCCATTTTCTAAACACTCACAACCAAACAACCCCTAACTCAAACTCAAAGCATTTGAATTTTATATAGAAACATTATCTTCTTCTCGAACTATTATCTACTGAATGGGCAGGCTCCAACCATGGCCGGGCTCCTTCACCCCTAATAACTCCTTAGTGCCCTCTATAGCATTCTGGTCACCCAGAGCCTCATGTTACTTAGGTACTCTGTGATGAAATTTCCCATGATTAAATCCATAGGCGTGGATGAAATGCCGTTGGATATTGGCATGATAGCGTCGATGCTCGACCAGAGAGGCCAAGCTAGACCAAAAAATGAAAAATTTCTATTAGACATGATAAACTCTCTATCCAGTACTCTTCCACCATTCCTATCGCCTTTTACCCGCTCAGGAGATGATATTCTTTATAGACTAAGAACTTACCATATACAAAAACAATCACAAGCTGTTTCCTCACAAAAAAATCTGGCATCTTTCCAGATATTTATGAAATATAAATCGCTCTAAAATGCCGGTTTCATTGGGAGTTTCATGATCTATGAGTCTCAAGATATTGCAGCTAAAAATGTGATGGGAATGCTGGACGAAAAAAGAATACAGGAGGGTGAACTAAAAATAATTATGAATTGAAAACAACTCACAAGTACATATATTGTCGTAAATTCTTAGTTCTCTTCTTGGTCTTCAGTTTCCTGAAGGCGCAGGATTCAATCTGCCTGATTCTCTCTCTGCTAACACCCATTAGCTCTCCAATTTCCTGTAGGGTCTTCATCCTTCCATCCTCCATTCCGAACCTCCATCGAACCACCTTCTGTTCCCTCTGGTTCAAGCAATCAAGAGTTTTGTTCAGATCCTCCTTCATGAATTGCTTAACAAGTATCTCCTCTGGAGTTAATGCTTCTGGATCTGACACTATTTCCTGCAAATGTAAAATCTTTCAGAGCTCCATCAATGATTATGACAATGAACAATGCACAGCATTGGTTGGGTGTAACAAACCGAAGGTTTTAAAGATTCGTTTATTCCGATTTTCTGATCCAAAGAGATGGGGGCTTTAGGGGCTAGCATAACCGCTGTAAACCTCTTCATGGTCAGCCCAGCTGCCTCTGCTACTTTCTCATTGTCAGGATGCTTTCCATTCTCAATATAGAGCTGCTTTCTTGCTTCTCTAACTCGATAACTTGCCTCCACCATATGGAACTGAACATAGCCCAAGTAAATGGCATTAAAAAACAACAATGCTTTCCTGAATTCATCTTATATGTCAGAACAGATGATAACAGGGTTCAAATTGATAAACAATCAAAACAACAATGCCACCTTGATGTTCTAAAATGAACTAAATCCGATGGAAACCATTTTCTAGGGAGAAAAATAAAAATAATAACTATGAATTTGGCATCAACGCACCAGTAAATGATGCATGCACAAGCAAACATAAAAGTTCAGCCATTTCATATTACAGAGAAAGTCAACACAAAGGCTGTAATTTTTCACCATTATCAGGATATTGTAGCTCTTTACGAAAGATGTTTTGCAAGAAATGGAGTATAGGAAGTACAACAAAACAAAAGATAGATTCTCCACATCAAAAGTACAAGCGGTCCCTCACTCAGAAGTAAACAAGATAACTAAATCACTTCAATACGATGACTAAGTCCACATTACACAAACAGATAATGAAAAAAAAAGTATTTCATGTAAATGATCTTTAGTTTCCAGCAACTCATGCAGATATTATGGTCAACAGTGATTGTTGTGTATGTCCGGGCTGGAATGTTTTCTTGGCCGTTTTTTTTGGATAGACTAAATCCACAAACAGATGTAACTCTAAATGGACCGCCATGTTGAGTTTGAAGAATGTTATTCAAAAAAATACACTGAAAATTGTTATTGAGCTGAACAAATTGATTTTTTTTTATAAATAAAAGAGTTTTTCATCAACCAATGCATAAGACAAACAGAAAATTTGGCCAAAATAAATTTTGATTGTCAGGGAACTTTATTATGTTTCGAGACATAATTTTTTATGAAAAACAAACCTTTTTTGAATTCAATCTCAATAATTGATTAGGCAATTTGAAAACTCGACCTTAAATTGTAATATGTATGTTTGGGCTAAGGCAATAAAGATGGTCCATTTAGAAGTCAATCTAATATTAATATATTAATAAAATTACTGGCTAAGAGTTAATATACATAAATCTTAATAAAAATAAATAAATGATGAAAATACAATTAAACTTAATCAATATTTTTGCATTGATTAGTTCATTTAAGGTATCATAATATTTTTGATTTATTTATTTTATTAATTATAACCAATGAATGGTTAACTATGATGCACAGACACAGACACGGCGACACGGATACGACACGACACGGACACGGGACATGTCAGTTATTGATAATATAGGACACGGATACGGGTTGGACACGGTATTATAATTTTTATATTTAAAAAATAATATATAAAAATTAAATAAGTATAATTTTAAAAATAATTTGAAAATAATAAGTCATTTAACTAGAATTTGTGCTTAAAATGATTAGTATTAGGATGTCGAGAGTCAGTCATCGATGTCGTTTATCAGTCACTGAGAGAGGAGATGAAAATACCTTCATTGTCAAAAAGAAAAGAAAATGAGAATATTTGATGATTGGGTATTAAGTGCAGACGTTGATTTGGTGTTGTGAATAAGAAATAAGAAATTTAGTTTAAATCCCACCAAATACAAGAAATTATATTTAAAAAAATTTATAAAATATTTAAGATATGTGTGTCGGACATGCGTGTCCAATTTGTATTTAATATTTTTTAATCGGACACATTTTCGGCGTGTCCGACACGTGTCGGAGAAGTGTTGGATGAGTGTCGTGTCGGATACAGAGTCGGACACTGAACGCCTCTTTGAGGAAAAGTGTTGATGCATCATAGATGGTTAATATTCAAATCCTCACTAAGTTCTTTAAGGCCTAGCAACTTGGAAGGATACAAAAAACCAATATTGATTCAATATTATTTTCGGGAATTTACATACAGACTACAAAATTTTTATCTATTTAAATTTCTAACACTTAAATTCATTTTTACTTACAAAGAAAATGAGCAAAATGGTCCCCTAACTCTTTATGAAGAACCAAAATGGTTCCCAACTATATTAAATGACCATTTTGGTCCCTCAAGTCTTTAAGGAGGAATCAATATAGTTTCATGATGGGACTATTTTGATTCCTCCTTAAGAAATTAAGAGACCAAAATGGACCTTTAATATATATCGGGACTTTTTTTTTCATGAAGAGTTTAGGGACATTTTGATCTTTTTCTCTTTACATGCATAGAACACACCTCTCAAAATCACATAAAAATACCATTGATATTAACTTATTTAAAGTAAAACACATCTTCTCATACATAAGCTTTGATGTGATTTATAAACTAAAGTGATATAGAAATAAATATAAATATTTAGATGTTAGTTATATAAATACATAAGAATTATTTGATACGTATGCAAATTCATTTTTTGTATAACAAAGCATATGAGATGAAATAAGATAACTTTCAATCGATTAAAATTATCAATTATATGCAAAACAATAGTACAAGAGATTTTGAGAATGTATCATTCTGAAAGAAAGCTCTCTTGAATAAAATTTTAAGACATTTCATCATGACACTCCCAATAGAATTTCAAAATATATATATATTGTTGGAGGTGTAGGTTAGGGGAGACTGGAAAGAGAGAGAGAGAAAAAAATATAGGAGAAAATTCTCTTTGTAAATAAAATTTTATTTGAAGGGGCGGTTTGGTTTGAAGTAAATTGAGTGTAAATTATTTCAAATGCAAGAGCCTTGAGAATATTGGGATTTGATTTGAAGTAAAGAAAATGCAGTGTAAAATTTTAGTGCATTTAGAATTCATCATCTAGTTCAATTTTAATATATTTAGAATTCCTTAGATTTTAACGAGTTCCAAATACACCATAAATTCGACTGTCGTCTACCACCATTTCCGCCAGTCACCGCCCACCTCTGATGGCCGCAGAACACCATCGCCGCCACCCAACTTCAAACTTTGCTACCACCGGCCACCATCTACCTCCGACCTTTGCTTCCGCATCCACTCGGCACCGACAGCTGGCCGCCCACCACCAGCGTATCTTAAATATTTTATGAATTTTTAAAAATATAAGTTCATGTATTTAAAATTTTCACTTATTTAAAATATAAAAATTAAACTTCTTATTTCTTATCCACAACACCAAATCAATCACCGTCTCAATATCGACGATAATACCCTCTTAATATTGATGCCCAATATTTATTGCATAACATCAATTCCAGACTTTTGGCATCTCTCTCGATGACTGATAAATTGCATAGATGTTCGACTCTCGATATCCTAATATTAATCATTTTAAGTAGAAATTCTAGTTAAATGATTTCTTATATCTAAATTATTTTTAAAATTATACTTATTTAATTTTTATACACTATTTTTAAAATATAAAAACTATAATACCGTATCCATCCCGTGTCTATGTCCTATATTTTTAATAATTGACGTGTCACATCACTACAGGAAATTCATGAATTACCGGCGATCAAGATCGACGGTTTTGTGATCGCCGGTAATAATGACGGTTTAACCGGCGATTTGGCCGCCGATAAATACTGGCGGTCTAATCGACAGTTTTTTAAACAACCGCTGCTGGAATTTGATGCGGTCAAATAACCGCCGGTTATTCTGCCAGGAGTAGTTATTACTGTCGCATTACCGGCGGTTTAAACCGCCGGAGTTAAGTGATTTTGTTCCGGTGGTCCTAACCGCCGAAACACCACTGGAAAAAGCCCTAAAATAATACATCCCCAGCCTTCCATTTCATTTGCTCGCAACTTCTTCACTCTCCCTTCTGACAGTCGCTCTGTCTCCGCAGCCCTCTCGCGTGATAGAGAAGCTCCTCCAACCGCCGACAAACTGGTCCATCCACCGTCCCTTACCCTCCTTACCCTCACCCATATTATTATACAAATAAGAGAAGCTCATAAGAGAAAAAATAATGAGATATGACCGAATTGAATAATCTAAGAACGAGATCAGATGGAGATCATGCAAAAAATTGAGAGTTTATTTATAATATTTTAGATAGATATTTCAGTTATTTTAACCTAAATTCTTAATTATTTTATTGAGTGATTGTTGTTCATTCTTTTAATTTTATAATTTTTTTTAGGAGTTTAAGTGCTTTAGTGATATCAAAAATTAAATGATATAGAGCTCGTTAGATTCTTCTCATCAACATGTTCATTTTGATTGTAAATACATAATATTCGAAAATCATTTGGTCCCTCAAATAGGAACATGAAGTTTTCAACTACACCTTGGATGCTTGATTTAGGACTATTTCAAGGTACCTATAATGTATTTTGATTAGTCTCATAATAACCACCCGCTGACTAAGAATGTACTTATCCGATCAAGATAAATCATTCAATCATATTAAGAATCAAATGAACCTTCATATGTTTATGTATATATGATTTGTCCTTAGTTTTTGTATATTAGTGTGTGGTTGAAGGTAGTCAAACACTTTCTCTTCTAAGTTGAAATCTACAATGTTTATTATTTTATGTTCCTAATCATATTAGAAATTAACCCTTAATTTTTGTAGATTAGTGTGTGCTTTGATTGCTTTCTTAATTCTTATGTATAATTTATAAATTATAATGTCGTGTCCGCGCCGTACCATACCGTATCGGTGTATCCGTATATTGTATTTTTAAGAATTGACGTGTCCCGTATCTGTATCGTATCGTATCTGTATCGTCGTATCCATATCGGTGCAACATAGCCAAAATCTTTCTTGACATTTTTAATAGGTTGTAGTCTTTCTTGATATTGTAGCTTTACGAACAACATTTTTCATTCCCTCTGTCGAGTCTCAGTAGAATGAAGAATAAGTTTAACTCCTTATGGCTATTCATGATGTTTAAACATGAAGTAGTCTCGAAAGTATAGCATGTACACTTGTTCAGGGTGCATATCTTCTAATAATTGATTTTATAACTATGTAGGGGTACGTTTGCTTCAACGTCCAAATGACTATCCAAGAAGAGAGATATTGGATATATAAAAGATTGTTACTGGGTCGAAGAGAATTAACAAATGAATTTATACAGAGAGTTGAGACTTTCA